TATAATTACGTGACTCATAGCCTGGTGATAATGGAGAAAAGAGATAGATAGGACGTCAGTATACGTCACAGCTATGATTTCACAGATTCGAGACAACTTGGTAGCCCGAATGGTCCCAGGCTTTTGTCCGTGCACACTAAGTGACTTTCATTACAAGCATTTAGCTTTCCGAAGTCTATGACAACAACTGTTTGGCATTGACGGCCACAAATTTCATGTCAATAAGCTGCTTCGACTTGTTCGATTTTGTTATCAATTCAATTTCATATTTATTTTCACATTTTCACTTCGCTGTCCTTTTGTTATTTACACATGTAGGTCATTTCATTGTTATTCACATTTGATATTATCATTTATCACATACTGCCATGACGCTCTTATCTGTCCGCTATAACTATCAAGAATTAATGTGATTGGCAACGGGCCAATAGAGAGCAGGGTCCTCACCATAATGCGGTTTGCACGCCAATTTTTGTGCGTACGTTAATCAAGCCGAATAGTTTGGCCGAATATTCGCCTATTCGGCCACGCTCCTGGCTGAATATTCGGCCTGAGGCCGAATATACTATTCGTTGCAACACTAGTAATTATGTTAATTATTATCTGAAGACATTGTAATGTACAGTTAAAATTTTACATTTACCCATTATAATTTCTCAATGCATGTACGTCATGTCACGTGGCTTGCATCTGACCAATACTTGATTTCTTCCTAAGCTTGCTATGGCATATTTGTTGTCACTCCTACCATAGTGGCAACAATTCTACAGCTCTTGCAGATTACTTGTGTAGCACAATGACGAGTTATTCCAACTTTATGAACTTCAGAATGCAAAATGCCTTCTCTGTTGTGAAGTTGCCGTTTTCATTTATGGCACTTCCTATAGGTAATAGACAATGAGACATTTGAATGCAGATGGTAGGCAAAACTCTGACGGTTACTCTATCAGTTGGTGTATGTTGCATACTTCTTAGATAATATTTAACATAATGAAAGTAATTCAAAATGGTAGCATTCATTTTGGAATACCCTGTATATCTGACTTTATAGAGATTTGTTAAAAACTAATAATAATTGTTTTTGTAGCTTCTAAGCTTTTTTTTTTTTTTGGATTGTTTATTTTATAAAATTTGCAAACTTTATTTTTAACAATGCCATTTCAAACAGCCAACATGATAAAATAGAATGAAATTTTACAAAGTAACAGTCTGAAGGCAAATTAAAGGCAATTCATCTACTGATAGCTTTTAACTGACCCCTACAAAGTCAGATATAATATTAGCTTATAAATATGAGAGTCAATAAAAGAACTAACTGTAAATTATTGTAAATTTATTCATCTTCTAAAATACATCATGTACTCACAAAGGCTTGTGCAATATTTTTAAAATTATTATACACGGATGAACAGGTTAGAGGGAACTATTAACATGATTACAATTTGTATATTTTCTTAAAAGCAAACGATTCTTTCCCTTAATGACAATTTTTGTAATTGCAATTTATTGTCGGTAATGATTTTACATGCTTTCAACCAAAAATTAGATGATTTCTTTATGAATATTTTTATAAATTATTATATTTTTTGCTATATTAGCATGTTTCTGAATGGTAAAATATAAGTTAACTTATAAAATTGTTTACTCAATCATCACATTTTAATGCATGTTTAAAATGTCTAAGGGTATCACATCCTTTATTCTATTTATTATTATTAATTATTTGTATAAGTTTTCCAGTCTTAATATGTAATTTATGAAATAGTAATTATATATAATAAACATAATTAGAATCTAATTTAATTTATTTTGAAATTATAATAAATATAACAATGATGTGGATATAATCAACCCAAAGACCATTGACAATGTAAGAGAGAAGGGGAGAAAATTTTTTATTAAAATAATTGATATGTTTGAAATGAGACAGGGATAACTATTTATCTCTAAATGGTAGTTAATTAAAATAATAAAATTTTTCTAGATGCATTCCTTCCATTGCTAAGATCTATAAAGCATGATGAGTTAGTGCTTGTTGTACGCAGTACCAAAAGTGCACTAGTGTTGAGCTTTGGTTCTAATGGAAGTGTAAATTTGAGAAAAATTGTTGCTATTGAGATGACAATGTCACTATTAAATCAGAAAGAATAACTTAGAAACTGAAAGATTACATAAATAAATGAAATGTATCAGTACAACTTTACTGGCTACATGTCATCAAATGATTTTATGATGATGTAAAATCATACAAAATTAATTTAAAGGTTACACATAAAACATTAATCTGTAATTTTGCATTACATATTTAATTAATTCATTTATGTAATCTTTCAATTTTGTTTAATTTCTAAATCATTCTTCCTAACAGTGATGATGATATCACTATAAGTGACAAGAAGTTTGCACTTTCTTGGCAGCAGAACATTTCTAGAATTCTTGAAGGTGGATAGTTAGCTTCAAAAGCATTTGAATGATTTCTAAATTTTTACTCCATTAAAAGCAGTATTTTCTTTTTTTTAAATTATAGTACAAGAAACAACCAAAACTTGAAAAGAACAAACAGCACTTTATCCAGCAATTAAATTTATGAACTCAAAAATGTTTTTTATTAAACTTAATGGATCTTTGGTTGCAGAACATGAAAAACGAAATAGAATGTTTTGTTTTTTTGTGTTCTGCGACTGATTGAAAGCATTTTCGAGTTCATTAAATTTAATTGCTGGAGTGTTATGAGGTGTTGTCTGTTAAGTAAATTACATTGTAGTTGAGTTATGCTTTAATTTCAAATAAAACATTTCCAAAAAGACAATAAAAAGATATGCAGATGTTTATAATCTTTGTTGCATAATATTTGTTTAGTATGGAACTATATTGTTTTTAATATCTGTAATTGTTTTCATTCCATTTTAACTACTATTAGAAAGTTCTTATTATAGATTTTACCAAGCTTCTATATTTATCTTTCATTTCCTCATTATTTCAGGGTACGGAAGTTTCATTATTTATCATTACAAACATATTATGAAAGCTTTCGCTTCTTTAATTTAACAACAAATTGAATATCAGTGAGTGTTTTGGATTGAGAAATTGAAATTTATTCACAAATGTTAGATGTTTTTTTGAGATAAAGCTCTACAAATGAGAACAATAACATTAAAGAATGGCTTTCTGTAAAGAAAAAGATGTGTACATATTTTGATTTAAAAAAAAAAATGTATTCTAAAGTTTTAAATCGGGTTTCTCTCTTCTAACAATTTAGGCCTATAGAACAGAATTTCTTAAGATTACAAAATTAATTTTTAACCTTTAACTTCAAATTGACATCTCATTTGTATTATAAACTTTTTAATTTTGATATCATCTGATAAATGTAACTATTATAAACCTTATAAATTATTTAAAATTTTAAATATTTACAAAATATGGAGTGAATTGTCAAGAAAATATTATACTTGGCTATGCATTATATGATCAATACAAAATTAAAATTTATTAAATGAGTCTGAAGATAAGCAGCGTTTAAGATATAAAACTACTTTATGTATGTGTATTTACAATTAAGAAGTTATGAACATATGCATAATGCACAGAAATTTTCTTAAAATTGCTTCATTCAGAAGTAGTGTTGTAAACTGATGATCACAACTGTCTGTTTGATTATTAAACATGAAATAATCAATCTGTGATTTACTAAGAGGTGCAAAATATTGTGAAAACTTGATAATAGTTTGAAAATTGTATCTATATTTTTACTTGATGTAATCAAGTACATGATTGAATGTAAAAGCTAGAAAGACCAATTTGTCATATGTTTATAGCTATTTCACTCACTATGAATACTTGATAATCTACCAATGATAAATCTAGCAACAAAATGTAGAAATTTAACTATTTATATATATTAGGTTTAAAGTAAACTATTCTAGTTTTACAATAGCATTAAATAAAACAAAGTAAATCCCTCAATAATGAATGAATGAGTAACAGTAATCTGTAAAATGAATTAAAAATTCTTTAGCATTCCATTAACTTATTAATTAAAATGAATTTTTTTGTTTAACTTTATAAATCTCTTCTGGTTGCCATTTTTGTTTTCATTAAATTCTTGTGAGGTGATACAAGGTATCCAAAAAGTTACTGTGCAGTGAAAAATTTGTAACAACATTAAAGTCGTATGGCATAGCATATGAGACTCGTAAGTTGTATGTTAGCATTTCCACTGTGGTAGATGCCGTTGCCGTTCGCTCACGGTCATTCCGGACTATGGTTTTTGGAAGACTTCTTTGCCGATCACATAATCTCATATGGAATTTGATCCTGTAAGTCTCTGGACTTTGCTCTTCCAGATTTTAGATCTTCTAGGGGACATTTCTGGCATTGCTGTAAGAGAAACTGCAGTATTGTGCATCATCTCTCATCATTTGTATATTTTTATGATGACGGAACTATTTTTTTTTCCATTCATTTTTGAGACAGTTTTTCTTTTTTAAAATAATATACATATAAACTTAGCTCTTGTTTTTGTTTGTATCATTACAAAATATTGCATGTCAAAAGTCTCAAACTCATCAGAAAATTCAAATCACAAATTTACATAGTCTAGAACTGGAAGCTTTATGTTAGTTTAAAATGATGAAATATGGGCAAATGTACATTTTGTAAATATATTTTTAACATTTATAAAATTTATTTATAAATTCAACTTTTGCTAAGTGTTTAAGATATTAATTTCTATTGTGAATTTGACTATTAACCTTCTACTTGACATTTTATTTGTATTATAAGAAACTAACAATTAAAAATCAAGTTCTCAAATACAATCTGGTTGTGACTTTTATTTTAAATCTAATTTGCTGCTCAAGACAAATTCAAATTGTAATATTTCCAAGAAACTGTTACTTTAGAAAAGATTATCTGTAAGTTTTTGTAAGAGAATTCTCTATACATAATGTATAGAATTTGACACAAAAATATTTATTAAAATAACTTTTTATTTCCAGGGTAGTCAGTTTGTGAGAAGAGCCGACACTGAAAGACTGAGAGAGATATTTTTAAAGGTTTGTTAAATGGAACAATCAGACATATAGACATATATATACAGTATAATATACATTATAATTCTGTCTAATGCTACATGAGAATATAATGTACATATATAGCAGAAATGAGAAAAATGATACATGATGATTATATTGTTTTAAATAAGATGGCTTTGGAAGATTTTGTATAATTGCTGTAATCAACAGTAATAATTTCACATAAAAGTATTCAAGAAGAGATAAATTTAATATATAACAATTTTTAAAAAATTATTATTCCTTTCATCCTGGAAGTAATTTAAGAATTTTGGTATATATACGGGATGGTTCCAAAATTCAGTTAACAAAGATATAATTTTGAAATTAGAGAGGTTGCGGCCGAAGTTTTCACCTGTAAACGTGAACGTCGAACGTCGCTATCTTGTAAGTGACGTTCGACGTTCATGTTTTAAAGATGAAAACTTCAGCCGCAACCTCTCTATTATTTAAAGAACAGTTAAAACTGCGTGTGTTACTTATGATTGACTTCATTGGAAGTGACTGAATCAGTTGTTATGCGCTGTTAGAATAGTTGTAAAAATATAGCTTGGTTAACTGCTTTTTGGCCCATTTTGTATATTACTTCAAATAATTTTGATTTGATCTTTTGTATGTATTTCAACTAATCTCTGAATTTATTATATTTGTAAGCTGGCTCCACACACTTGCCAATTGCCAAATAATTGCCTATTTGTCCCCTTTGATTTCGCACACTGTATCAACAAGGAGTGGAAAACTGTAAATACGAATATTTCATACCGAGTAGTCATGAGTAAATCATTCACACTACTCTGTATTGACCAAATGTTTGTGCAACATTCAGCAAATACCAAATGTGTGGTGCTGCCTTTAAATTAACCATGTTAATATTATTGAATAATAGGACATGTTTTGAGAATATGGTGCAATAGTATATTTAATTTTTACATTGGAAATTTGTGTTTATGTATTATAATAATAATACAGTAGAGCGTCGTTTATCTGAATCAATTGGGGACTGGGGTTGTTTGGATAACTTATTTTCGGATAACTGATTATGTACGAAAAAATACATTAACACATCCCATGTTGAAATTTTTCTCCGTTGCATGTTGTTTTGCGTTGAATTTTCGTCGATGTTAAGCCTAATGTAAACTTTTTAAAATAATAATCGTGGCTATTGCATCGTTAAAAATTATTTCTTTATTTTTTACAAACAAAATAAATATATTGAAAAATATAAAAACAAAAAAAATTATACTTTAGAAGTTAATCTAGTATCAAAAACGTTTGATTCAGTATGACACACAGTCCTCAGAAAAACACCACACAAAAGTGCCAGTGCTGCCAGCTAAAAAACACACATCAACAAAAAAATATTGGAGTAGCCCAAGATATAGGCAAAGATTGCAGCGCCACAGCAGTAGCGAAAATTTAAATTTGCCGACTGGAATCCTTTCGGATAAACGACGCTCTACTATAATAATAATAATAATAATTTAAGTAGTCTAAAGTCAAATATAAGAGATAGTGATATTTTTTAGTATTGCTTAATTAAATAGGTCACATAGGAATGTTTTGCAAAATCACCTCTAGACATCTTATTTATTTCAAATACATTGTCTACTATAGCATATAATTTCATAGAAAACTTAATTGGAAATATTTTGTTTTAAAATCTGACTCCATACTGTTGTTTTAGATTGTTACAGAAATTAATATTGTTGTTATTAATTATTACAATGTACTGTATTATGATTTTAGATTGAGTGTATGCAAAGTTATGCCACCTTTAGAACTTCCCCAATATTTGCTTTCCTCTCTCCCAGCTTATGTGAATAAAAAATGTTTTGGTGTTAGTATGAATATAACAAACAAACAAATTTTTTCTACATGTAAATGGTAAAATCTGAAAAATGCACATGATTGAACTTCTGTAATAAATTACCTCTAGGAAATGTGTAGAATTCATTTATGTAGAAAATTTGTTAAATGGAAAATTGACTGGTAGGGAAAAGAAAATATGATAAACCATAACAATGTTACACGAAAATATTCATGAATATATTTGCAACAGAATAAAATATTATGCATGCATGTTACATTAAAAATCAAAGTATGCTTTATTCAATTTTTCATGTAACATGCATATGTAATATTTTATTTGTTATGAAATGTTATTGAAATGATATTTATGCAGCTGGCAAAACTTTGTTAAATAGATATTTTTAAATTGTTCAAAATGTGTCTTTTTTTTTAAATCTCCAGAAAAATACTTTGAAAAGAGAAATTTATAATATAGAAGTTCATTATATGGACATATGACTGTATGTACAAAAAACAAATATAGTAGAATCTGCTTATTGTCATCACTTTGAAACTTGACTAGACTGATAATGTTAAGCAGGATAAGTAGACAAGATTACAATTAGTGAAAATTCTGGCTATATTGGCCTTGTCATTTAAAAGGATGTGTTAAAACCAATTACAAAATGCTTAACTTGAAGATATAATAATTGGATGAATGAAGGTCTTTCCTGTGAGTCCATCAAAATCTTACCATGGATAATTAAACTATGCCACTGGGACTTGCCAGTAGGCAATCTAACATCATTAAATAGTAGGTAATTGATGATGATAATTTTATTAAACATGATGCTTTATTAACAGAATACAGTGAACATCTTAATTATAATTTTACATTGTTTGTATCAATCAAAAAGTACATAATCTAAAAATAACATTTTTTAAACCTGAAAGCAAGATGAAAATGCAATTCAGTACTTGTACCTCAGTAATATTTTGTAGTTCACAAACTTCTAGCAGACATTTGCTTGCTGTTTAACAAAAGTTCCTTTTGACCAGCAATGATTTACTTTCCAAGTGACAGGAATGAGTATGTGCACACCCACGAGAGAGGTATGCTGCCATTTTGAAAATATACGTAGCACATCCCTCTTTTTTTTTTTTTTTGATTTTGTTATATTAGAAGGATGTAAGGAACAATTGCAGCTGATCAGAGATCTGCTGGTATGTCTCAGTTAAGAGTTACAAGCATTAGTTTTGAGGGCCTACCAGAAGAGCCCATTAGTTCTTTCAGGTAGGAGTCCCTTGTACAATCTACAGTTAATAGTAATTTATTCAGTGTTGTTTACTTATCAGTTTTTGCAGTAATGTCTTTAACATCACTTACAAGGAGACGACCAGATGTTTGGGTCTCCTATTCAAACAAAACTTAGTGAGCATGTAGTCCTAAACACAAACAGTTCATTGTCTAAGTAATGACTCATTTCTCTAGTGTTTCTGAAAAATGGGCCTCTGAAAATTGACTGTTTAGCTTATGTCTTTGGAAGTTTCACAAATACTTGCAATGGCAATAGCTGAGTGGGTAAAACAATAGGCACTGTAGCTACACAATGTAGGTTCAAACCTGTGCAGTTTTAGTTATTTTTTTACATGTAACAAAATTATTTTACTGTATCATTATTATTCCTCATGTTCAAAGCTTATAAATCAAGAGATTTAAAAAATGTGATGTCATTTCCTGTTTATGAAAATGAAGCACTGTGAAAATAAATTTTTTTGTTTGTAAACTGAGCTGAGATCCTTTGCTCGGTGAATTACTACTATATTTATTCCAAGTTTATACTATAGAAAATATATTATTCTTGATAGTAAGCTTAAGGGAATTTAGCTTTCATATCTTACCTTCATGAATGTGCATTCTTTAAGTAATTATGTAATCGGTAGAACATTTACATCTGAAGTAATTTGAAGGTTTCGTTAATCATTAGTAACAGTTTCAATTGAAAGCTGTTAAACATGTTAGTAAAATTATATTGAAACTGAATCAAAATTTGATTATATTGACTAATCTTTATTCTTTAGTATGCAAGTGTGGAAAAAGATAGCGATAAATTTATGACACCGGAAGATTTTGTTAGAGGATTTTTAGGTTTATATCGTCACGACGATTACAATCCAAACACTGTACGATTACTGGGTAACATTCTAGACACATCTAAAGATGGGTAAGTTTATAAAAATAATCATACCTTTAAAATTATTTTGATATAAATAGCTTAGAATATGAACGTAATAACTTATCGTATTTTAAATATTATCAATCATTATTTTAATGTTAATTAATTTAATCCCTAGCTTTTGTTCCTCAAGATTTTATAATTATCACTTTATTTTCGGTATTATTCTATTAATGTTTAATTAATAAGGATGTATACAATTTATTGTATTATTTCTAAGCGATAAATCATTGTATTAATTTATGGTTTTCGGTTATAACGGCGTATGAAATATTTATTTATTAAAAAAATGGTTTGTATTAGAATATACGTGAAATACCATACTTAAATAGTTTTATTTAAGTTAATTAATTAATTAAACTTTAAATACTTTATTTTTCTTTTCGTTTAAAGTGAAATTTTTATGAAGTTTCAACGTTATTTAAACGGGAAATTTAATAAAAATTCTCGGTAGTCTTCAATTAAAATGTTTCGCGTAGATCCCTTGATGCATATTTTTCGAATTATTCTAAAATATTACCTTTTTCCAACAGAAAAATATTGTTAAAAAACTTGATAAATATTTAAATATATTTATTTTTTCATTAAAAAAATATATATATATAACTTAAGTGAACTTAGTAACAAGATGTTAAAAAAGAACACATAATTTAGAATTTTACTTTAATTTTTTCTTTAAAATTTAAAGAAAGATGTTAGTGGTAATTACAATTATTATTATTATTATATTAAAATACTAAATCATATAATAATTAATGTAAATAAAATAAAAAGTAGAATAAACAATTTTTAAACTATATTTTGTTTAAAGGCATTCGAAAATTTAAATCCGAAACTTTTGTAAAACAAATTGTAAATTAAATCTTTTATAATTGAAATTTTAATAGATAACTACAGATTTGTATTATTATTATCATTATTATTTTTTTAAACTGATTTTTAAAGCAATTATTCTAAGACAAGCGTGAATTAAGGGGTTGATAACGGAGGCTATCCCTCCCTCCTTTGAGATTTGCTCCTGAATCTGTCATTTAAAACAAATATATATTTATTTTTACGAATGATTCAATAGTAAATCGATAGGCAATCTTACTAATATTAGTTCAGGTAACGAAAAGTTAAAAAAAATAATATTATTATTATTATTATTAACAATAATAAACACTTGAAAAGTAATCTCTACGTATAACAAAATTCGAATATTCTCTGAGATTTTATGGATAGAATTTGATTTATTCATTAAATAAACAGATTATATTTTCATAAAATTCAAATTTTAAATGAAAAATAGTTTTCGTATTTAAACAATACCATTAAATTAAATGCATCATCCACTGAGAAAGACTAATCAATTATTTAATTTAATACGGTTAATAATTTTAACTTAATTTTAAAAACTTTTAATAATATAATTTATATTAAATTTTCTTAGCGTTTATAATATCTGTTTTTTTTTTTTGTTTTTTTAGTCAGATATTTATTCAATAATCTGAAGAAAATTACGAGAAAAACATTAAAATAATGACGGAAAATCGGTCTAGTTACAGATAAACGACGACAAGTTAAGCTTCGATTTTCTGTCCCACGTATTGAAAAATATTATTAAAAATCGTCAAAATCTTCAGTGGAAAGTTAGAAATGTTCGACTCACCTGTTAATGTCATAAAAAAGCCATAAGAGTAGCAGAGAAACTGTCCAAAAGGCCATCTCTGATTGAGCGCAGCTATAAAAGACAAAGGAGTTCCCAAAGCGGATATACTCAAATCACTCAAACTGAGATTCAACAAGATTCCATTCATCGGAGTTCTCAAACATCGATCGGAAACGATAGCTAAAATGGCAAGAAAGTTATTAAAACATCCGAAGAACCATATGAGAAAGAGGAACGATGCTGCTATATAGAAACCAGAAGAAGAGAACGAATCGGAGTTAGTGTAGTTGGGATGATAACTGATGTTCATGCTGCTCAGTTGGAGAAGCGAATGAGTGGATATTGAGGTTTACTATCATATTATAATAGTGGTGGCGCTTGTCTCAAATTCCCATATCGATTTTTATGAATTATTATGAGCACTCATTAATCTAATACATCATTTTGATAATCTGTTCGTCTGTAAATCATTAAAGTTCATTTTAATTAGGAAAACTTTAATTAGTATCCAAATTAAGTTCTCTTTAAATATGTTTTCTAATCGAAATCTTCCATATTATGAATTTTACTTGCATAATAAAGCTGTCTTTTCGGTTTGTTTAATGTAATTGAATTAATAATAGAACTATCTTATTTTGAAAATAAAAACAATTTACTTGTAAAATAAAAATAAAAAAAAACANTCTGGCTATATTTTCAATATATATTGAATTATTAAAATTCTGCTGATTGCAATTTTTGATTATATATGATATAATTAGACTAAATACAGTAGGACTTCACCATATGCAACTAATACATTCCAAGACTTCTTGTGTAAGCAGAAATTCACATAAAATAAACAAATTCCATTAATACTTAAGTATTTCTTATATTAGCATACCTACCACACATTTTTTGTATAAATAAAGCAAATAAAAAACTATATTAAAAATAATAGTATGATGGAATCATAAAAATAACTTAAAAATTTGAATACACACTGTTTTGTGTGTCACTGAAACACTTTCATGTATTTTTTTTCTTTTCTATTATGACACACATGGAAGATTTGTTCTTCCCTAATATTCTTGCAACTTCTGAAGAAAACTTTTGATTTTCTTTCACTTATCAGAGTTACCAGCTTCACCCTTGAATTTTTGAGCTATTCTTGCAAAGTAATTAGTGTAAATGAAATAGAGAGAAGCACTGATATCATATGGATGTAATACGTTAAAGAGAACTCCAGATAGACTAATGCTCGTCTTGGTGTTTAGTGTAAAACAATGAAATGAATTAAAATAACACTTTCTCAGAATCATACATTGATATATTATCATGTGCAAGATAAATACAGATGATAATGCTTTAAAGATGTTATAGTAAACTATTTTTCTGCGTGTAAATATTTTAAATTAAAATATTGTAGTAAATTCACGGTGGTTTTATTATTTTAAAATTAAAAAGAAAATTGATTAATTATTTAGAAAACTGCATCTTTTTGAAGTTCACCATGTACATTTGGGTGAGAATTTGTTTTGAAACAACATCTGGCCAACTGTAGTTCATAAGTGAAAAAGTCTTCCAACAATCACAATCTTGCAAAAAATTCTTGAATAAAACAACTTAATTCAAACAAAAAATTTTTAATATACTTCCGATCCGAACCAATTTTGTTTGTTTCTCTGCTAAATTTCCAACCAACAAAGATAAATCATAGTTTATTCTTTAAAACGTGCTAAATTTGTAAAATTAATATATACTATGTATTTTAATATAAAGACATATACTAAATACAGTATAAAAAGTTTTTAGATATATGCTCCTAGTTCATAAACGATATTATACTGTGTGTAGGAATATCAATCAAAGCCTTCGAAGCTTTGAACCTTCAAAAATTTTCAGCATTTTTTGAATTTGAAGCTTTGGGGAAAAAATGTGTTGAAGGTACAAAGATTTCAAGTAATATTCAAACAATAGTAAAGATAAATTTCAAAGCGGAAGAAATTAAAATGTTAGTGTTGGTAAGCAAACATAGTGAAAATGTAGAGAAACTTTACTTAGTGCTCAAAACTGTTGAACTTACATTAACCAATAGTGAAAGGGTTTTCTCAATTTGTGGTAACATTTTAACAAAAGTAAATTAATCAGTTCTCTCCTTGTCTCTATAACACTTTTGTATACTTTACTTTTTATTTCAAAGAAAATCCTAAATGTGTTTAATAATCAAACAGATTTGAAATTCCAAATCAAATTTGCATAAAGCTTGTTTCTAAAATTTCTGGTCTGTATTTATGAGTTTCATTCTAAGAATTCTCAATATAATTATCTAATCAGTTCATAATTGATTGAATTCATTCATCTCTAAATTACTATGGCATAAATTTTGGCATTAAAACTTTTAAACTTTGAAGATTTAAAAAGTGAAAGATATCCATAACTGTGCATATATTATTTATTTGAAATTCTTTTTGATTTCCTGTTTTTTTATGTATATAGATTAATTATCTGAACATTCTTATACAGTAATTAGTTCAGATTAGTAAGAGTGCACTATATTTAAAATTAAAGGTTGGAATTGACTTTGTTTATCGAATATGAAGAAGTATATTAATGCTGCTGTTATTTTTTTTATATTTATCTAATGTATTTATGAAGAATTTTAAAATATAAATATATATTTATAAATAATTTCCTCAATTTATAATTTTTTAATACTTTCTTTTTATAGTGTTTAGGTAAACAAATTAACTAAGTCTTTCTAAAAGTTGTATTTAATTAATGTTTTATTGATTTCAAAATTATTTAGTCTTGTCAGTTTTGCTGAATTTCAAGCCTTTGAAGCCGTTCTTTGCAAACCTGATTCGTTATATAAGACTGCCTTTCAGTTATTCGACACAAATGGATCCGGAACCATTACCCATGGTAATTTATTAATTATAAAGAATATTGAAATAACTTTGACAATAAAATTTGAATATTAATTAATATTTTATTCTTAGATGAATTTGAGGAAATCATTAAACATACGACTCTTCACGAGAAAATTCCCTTCAATTTTAACAGTGAGTTTATGCGCTTACATTTTGGCGAAGAGAGGAGTAGGTTAGTCAGTTACGTGGAATTTTCTCAATTGCTTCATGTAAGTCTCCAAAACTTTAAAATGTTACATAAATATAGATTTTATTTTATATGATTATATTATTTTATTAGGATTTTCATGAAGAGCATGCCATCCAAGCATTTAGAAAGTACGACAAAAAAAAGCGGGGTTGCATATCTGCCTTAGATTTTAACGATATCATGATATCCGTTAAAAGTCATCTTTTAAGTGAAGAAGTGAAACGGAATCTTGTGGCTGTAATTATCAAANTGGTATTCAAATGATACAATTTCTTGAGAAGTCATTTCCCATATGTAAGTGAAAATTCATTCAAGTATACAAACTTATGTAATTTTGGATTATTATTAATGCTGTTCATTTCTTTACGATTTATTTAATGCTCCGAACATGACATTTCTGAAGATTCCAAATGCATATTAGGTAAACCTCAGTTTTAATCATAAACAATGAATTGAACTTAATTTTTTTCACATTAATTAACTCTGTTTATGAAAAAAGTCATCTAAAGCTTAATTTTTTTCACATTAATTTACTCTGTTTATGAAAAAAGTCATCTAAAGCTATTGAACCTTACAATGAAAAAAAGATCATTGTAAATATTTTACACAACAAATAATTGAAATTTACCGATAAAAATACTTTCTGCCGTTTATTTTTCGAAAACTAATTCTGTTTTTAGTACTTTGTACAGAAAATAATTTTTTTACGAGAGCAGCCATATTGAATTAGCGCAAAGGTCGACAACGAACTAGCTAGCACTCCGAGCTTTACAATTTCGCTAAACATGACGTCATATAGCTCTAAAGTAAACGCCAATGAGCGTGGCACTTGGACGAAAGTATACAGGCTGAGCGTGCTGATAGTAAAATTAGCTCAGAAGTAAACGCACCCAGAATGATAATGAACATGACTGAGATGATGAGAGACCTCTTGAACTTTGGAAAAATAATAGATTTAGCGCATAGTTAAAAATCTTCATTTTATGCATTTTTCTTTTGTTTTCTTTCTTTTGGATTACTGATAGCGTAACTCTGAAACAGTGTGTGGTTAATCTGCATATGGTGGGGTCCTAATTTGATTTTAAATTAATAGAGAAACTTCCTTTCTTCATATTTATAAATTTAAGGTAAAAATCATGTAGTAATTCTCAAAATATACTTTAGTTTTTTCCATCTTGAAACATTGTAAATAATATATATTGGGTCATTTGATAAGTAATGTACTTTTTAAAAGATTATGGAGGGCAAAACTAAATTTAATTTAATGTAAAATGTATTCACCATTTTGTTTCATTACTGTCTATCAATTTCATTCTTATAGCTTTCTGGTTTTGAGTTTTATAAAAGCCGTGATGTCATTTATAACTTCTGCACTTGCATGTTTTGTACTCTAAAAGTGCTGGAGAAAAGAAAAAAAGATGATAATTACTAGGGCCAGATCTGGTGAGTAAGGAGGGTGTTGCAAAATTTTCTAGCCAAAGCTATTACTAAAATGATAATCACATTCAATACCAAAAGTATAAAAGAAATGGAAAAAAAACACTATCTTTTGGTGTCTCACTCACTATTTTAATTCACACAAAATAGATACACAAATACTTTCAACATTGCATTAATATCATCATCAGGCTATATATATACAGCATACAGATTTTGTTTGAAAGTACTTGCATATCTATTTTGTGAGAATTAAATAGTATAATGCCAAAAGACAGTGAGTTTTTATTGCTTTTTCAAAGCTATTAATTTTTTGGATCGTGACTGTTGTAGTATTTGTGAAAGGCATTATTATGGTGCAGTATTATGCTACAGATGGCTTTTTTCAGAGTAACTGTCCTAAAACATACAAATTGTTGACTGTTAATAGATGCTTTTATGATTTCATTTTCATTTAGTAGTTCACAATAAATTTTTGCATGAATACCATAATTTGGGTGAATAGAAACAAAACTTGAAGAAAATTTTATAGGATAAATGGTACATTAATTGGTCATTTCGAATTTAAACCTCTTTAATAAGAGTTCTATAAAAGCCATATGGAATATGGCTTTTATAGAACTCTTATTTGCTTGGAATATTGCACATCAGTGTTACACTTTGTCATGAATTGATACAAGTATACCAAAACACATGTCATATATTTCTTTTGTTTTATATTATATATTTATTACATTGGGTTATTTTATATGTAAGTATATTTTTAGGAACAATTTTGTTTTGTTTTTTACTATATTGGACTCAAGATTGTACTGTTTAATAAATAGGGCATAATAAATAAGCTTGTTTCAATCTGTTACATTTTAATATAACAATATATAAGATAAAAATTTAATTTCTATATTTTTATACATTTTAAAAATAATTGATGGAAAAATAGAATGGTTTGAAGAAAAAAGATTTTCTTAATGCTTTTAAAGGAATTCAACAGCTTGTTTCATTTATTAGTTTGAAAATGTATCTCTTTCTGCAATAAAGTTTTTTTATTTTACACATATTAAAACTTAAGGATGGACAATATTTGTATGTTTCCTCTAAAGCTCGAAAGTCGTTAATGTGTACATTACCTAGCTAATTTGCAGATTAACTAGGGTGATCCGTTAAAGTTGCTAAAATTGCTCTATTTCTCAAATTACCTAGGTAATGTGCAGATTATCTAGGTAATCTGCAAATTATCTACTAGGCACTTGGTAAAGTGAAAATAAGATCTTTGCTGGAACAACAGAATCATTTCTGTACGCTTAAATTAACATAATGTTGTTTATTTAATTTTCAATATCTAAAGATTCAAGTTAATACAATCAACAAATTAATTGATAGACTCAATCATCAACCAATTAAAGAACATACAAAAAATCAAATGGTTTAAAATATTATTACAATTAGGGAAATTATTATATAGATAGCCACCTATGGAATTTTGGGACTGAGTATCTATCTGAACTGAGGGGACCGAGACGACTTCGACGATACCCTACTTTTGGACCGGAGATGAAAAATAATAAAGTTGTTATACTTTTTCTGGTGATCGCATGATATAATTGTGCAGTTAATGTTATCTATGGTGAGTAAAATGGCAGCTCGTCTCTGATTCCAGCAAACAGAAGAAAGGAAACAGTGGGGACGCACGTTCTAACCTAACCTAACCTATTCTAATAAATTACCATAATTATTACCAACCAAATTATTAGAATAGGTTAGGTTAGGTTTGAACGTGCGTCCCCACTGTTTCCTTTCTTCTCTTTGCTGGAATCAGAGACGAGCCGCCATTTTACTCACCATAGGTAACATTATCCAATTGTGCTTACTTATTAGTGCAGTTTAAAGATTGGTGACACTTTGAATTTCATAGCAATTTGTTTTTGCGACAAGCACACCTATTTGTGGTACATTTATTTGTGGCAAAGATCTTATTTTCACTTTACTGAGTGCCTAGTAGGTAATGTGCGGATTACCTAGATACTCTGCACATTATCTAGGTAATTTGAGAAATGGAACAGTTTTCACAACTTTAACGGATTACCCTAGTTAATCTGCAGATTAGCTAGGTAATGTACACATTAACGACTTTCGAGCTTTAGCGGTAACATATACATGAATAGAGAAAACTGTAGATAAATGCAGACAGATAGGGCAAGAACTGTAGGACATGTAACATAGGGTTAATACAAAATTTGTAGAATTTTACAAATCAGAGCAATAAAGTAAGTCTTTGGTGAAAAAGATACATACAGTAGTTGGACATAGGTGGAGAATGGATGGAAGGTGCTTACCAATTTCCAGGCCAAGACTTGTCAGTATGGAATGTTTACCTTGAATTGCAGTACTTTCAATGTCATAGCAGGCTTGTTACCAAGTGATTCAGGTGTTCTTGGGGCAGATTGGGCCACTTCTCTTATGGAGTGATTGTGCCCATTCTTAAGTTTCGGACATGTGTGTATAATAAACTAGTATTTTGCAAAACTGCCTTTGTTAACCGCTTCTTGTCCACTGTTTTAAAAAAATTTTTAACTAAGCATAAAAAATACTTAAAACTGAAAAAAAATGAAAGAAATGGCTTAATTTTGGTTAAAAAGCTTCTTCATTTACTTTCCTTTGTCTCGTCTTTCTGTGAAATTTAACACCTATGAGTCATTGTTTACACATCTGGATGACCTTGAGAACAGCTGGTGTCCTATTTCCCGGGACATTCTCAGACTTCTCAGGAGGAGAAGGGTTTAAAGTGGGTGACTAGAAACTAAACCTATATTTTTAAATTTTTAAAAAAATTATAATTTTTATTGCGATTTCCGACCCCCCCTAATTAATTAAACATATATATAATAAAATCTATTAAAAAAATTTAAAAACTATTGGAGGTTGTTTTTGACATCATAAAGCAGCTTTAAATAACTTTACCGAAGGAAAATCAGTGCACTACAACTTTAGAACGATTAATTAATTTTGATAAAAAACTCCCATTAAAAAAACATTAAAAAGCAATTAAGCCTTAATCGAGCTTTATCAAAGGCTCATTAAAATCACGATAAAATTTTTTTGTGCGGGCAAAAAATTTTGAAAAAATTTTGGGACCTAAAAAACATTCCAAAAATAAAAATTCGGGGGCCCAAACGCCCGTTTTTTTTAACGCTATAAACCTTGCTTGAGTCAGACTCGAGCGTGGGTACAGTGTCAACAAATTTTGTTGTTGTTTTTCTTCCAATCTGTTCTTAGTGAAATTNTTTGTGGCAAAGATCTTATTTTCACTTTACCGAGTGCCTAGTAGGTAATGTGCGGATTACCTAGATACTCTGCACATTATCTAGGTAATTTGAGAAATGGAACAGTTTTCACAACTTTAACGGATCACCCTAGTTAATCTGCAGATTAGCTAGGTAATGTACACATTAACGACTTTCGAGCTTTAGCGGTAACATATACATGAATAGAGAAAACTGTAGACAAATGCAGACAGATAGGGCAAGAACTGTAGGACATGTAACATAGGGTTAATACAAAATTTGTAGAATTTTACAAATCAGAGCAATAAAGTAAGTCTTTGGTGAAAAAGATACATACAGTAGTTGGACATAGGTGGAGAATGGATGGAAGGTGCTTACCAATTTCCAGGCCAAGACTTGTCAGTATGGAATGTTTACCTTGAATTGTAATGCAGTACTTTCAATGTCATAGCAGGCTTGTTACCAAGTGATTCAGGTGTTCTTGGGGCAGATTGGGCCACTTCTCTTATGGAGTGATTG